ACCATTAGATTTTAATATTCTACAAAGTTTCTGTATATAAAAATTACTACCATACAAATTTCATTTTTCAAAAAGCTCCTTTGTTTTGGTAGTTTTCCTTGACATGTTTTCTTTATTTTAATATGTAGTATGACCTAATTCATTGAGCTTGATTAACCTGTCAGAACCACACAGTAAAAACAAGTGGGGCCTCTATTTACTTACACAGATAAAATGAATGGCAGGTATTCTCCAAACCTTATTTGGACTTTCATATATTTAAGTTATGCCTGACTTCATGTGACAGCTTATACTAAATTATCTATTGGGAAAAGCAGAACACAACTCAGTACGCACTCTGTGTCATTACTAGATTGAAGTCTATCATTTTTTCCTTTGAATTCCAAACAAAGGAATCAAGCACAGCCAAAAATCCCTTCTGTAGGTCATATTAATTGTAACTAATTATTTTCCCATTCAGATTTATATGCAAAAGAACATAATTACAAGAGACAGAATTTCCAAGTATTATGCACATTCTTGATGGCTTATTTCTATTAACTCCTCAGAGGTAACAGCTTGCCAACTTGCAAGACAATTAGCTAACAGGTATAAACCAAGTTCTTACCAGATGGTCACAAAAAATAAGGCAAAACTAAAAATATCTAAACTGGAAAAAACTATCAAAGCTCAAAGTAAGAAATATGTACTGTTTTTTTTTTACATTTCACTGCATAAATAGAAGCTATATAGCCATGCTCTATCGAAGATGAAACTAGTAATACGTAGTTTTAAAACACTAATTCATCAAACAGTTAAAATGGGAAAACTATTAATTCATTTATTTTGTCATTCTTCAATCCCATTCCAGCAAGCTGAATCTTTATCCTCAGGCATTTCTCGTCAGATATCCCCAAAAGATTGTTCCACAGGAGAGAAACGGCAAAACGCAAGCTGCTCTGAAAAAGAATACCTAAATTTTTAACTGCGGTGGAAGTGCCGGAAAATGAAACTCTTTCAACATTGAAACTAGGAGAGAACCGAACCACGCACAGAAAGAAACGCGGAGACCTCATAGGTGGCAACAGAGGGAAAAAATGCCAGCCGCCAGATGTCATGATGGCCTTTTAAGGCCCAGTAGGAAAGAGACAAGAGCAGGACTGTAGCAACCGGCCCACGCCTGAAGCCCCCGATCCTGCACCACGGACGAGGGGCCGAGTTCTCAAGCTAATGGCATCTCTTCCCTAAAAACTCAAAAGGGGAGGGGCCCTCGATGCTCTGGGAATTGAATTAAACTCCTGGAGGTCCGTCTCCGAGCTGCACGCACCGCGACCGAGTGAGGGCGACAAGCAGAGGAAGAGGATGTCCCCACGGCAGGCACAAAACCGCAGGGAGGAGAGGGGAATAAGTCGGTACCTGTTTGTCTCTCTCTAATACTGGCTGCTGCGGCCGCCGCCATCTTGACTCCCACCATCCGCAGCCCGGCAGGCGAGCGGAGCCCTACGATGACGTGGCCGGCCCGACTGCCCCGGAAGCAAAGCCCGGAGGGGCGGGGCCAAAGGAGACCGGACCCCGCCTCCTCTAGGGTGCCTCTCCCGAGCCGTCAGCTCCCTCCGCAGAATTTGGAGACCCAGTGGGGGTTAATGCTCGAACACCTAGTAGAGTGCCTTTCAGCTGCGGAATAGTAGGAATTTTTATCCTGTCAAGCCACGGCCTCTCAAATGGTAGCTGCTTTAAATTGAGCTCTTAGGGTTGGAGTGTGGTGTAGTTCTAAGAACCTAATTAAATACTGAACTGTTAATTTGGTCGTTTATAGATCACTTAAGTGGTTAGAATACTGTAGGGGTTTAAGGATCACCCTAGATGATCACCCTTCATTACTTAAGCAATGTAATTGAAGCTCCTGGAACAAAGTAGGCACTTACACGCTAGCTCCCTCCTGCTTCCCAGTGCAGCAGGAGAGGCCTCCCCTCTGCTCCCTTTTTCGGAGTAACAGACGGGCTTTGGAGCATTGCTCTAATCTGACAGATTTCTCAATCTTATCTATTAGGCAAAATGGTCTAGCTTTATGGTGTTGTTTTGCCTACATGGACACAGGAGCCAGGAAGGTGCAAAATGGCAATTTGGTATTCCCCCCCCCCTTCCTTTTAGTAACTGCAAAATCACAAAACATTGGTTTGGGGAGAGGGGGTAAGTGATAGTGCTGGTGTTTTAATGTACACTTGAAGCCATGTGATGACACAATGTATCCGATACTGATGATTTCTAATTTAATCCATAGGTTTTTAGTTGATGTCAAAAATGGATACACAATGACAACTCATTTCCCATAGTTCAATAGAGTTCACTGTTGACACTGCATTAGCTGTTCATTCTGAAGCTGCACCAAATTCTGAAATGAAATTCTACTGTGCCTCAAAAACTGCTTTGAAAACTTAACTTTCCAGTTTATGAGAAATGAATTGTTATCCTGATTACATAAAAAGCAAAATTCTGTAATAAGACACTAACTTCTCTATTTCACAGATAAGTCAGTTATTTTTGTGAAACGTAGACAGGTGATCTTATTTTAACGCCACTAGGAAACGCCCTAGAACTGAACCTACATTTTTTTCCCCTAGTGTAAGTTTTTTTTATTTTCCAGCTTTACTGAGGTATAATTGACAAATAAAATTTGTAAGATATTTAAAGTGTACATTGTGACGATTTGAGGTATTTGAGGTACGTATTCGCTGTGAAAGGATTCCCCCCATCTAGTTAATTATCACATCCATCACTTCACCTATTTTTTTTTTTCCTGCTTTGGTGAGAACACTTAAGTTCTGCTCTCCTAGCAAATTTCAATTATACAGTAGTTATCAACTATAGTCACCATGTTATAAATTAGATCTTCAGACTTCATTTACCTTATAACTGAAAGTTTGTTACTGCATCATATGATTTATATGTGGAATCTAAAAAAAGTCAACCTCACGGAAACGGCAGAAAAGTGGTTACTAGAGGCTGGGGTGGGGAATAGGGAGAGGTTGGTAATAGGATATGAACCCACATTTTTTACCTTTAAGGATTGCATCATCTCTCATTTTTGTAGCTAATTAGCATATTAACTGGCATATTTACTGTTTTATTCAGTGCTATTACTAATATTTTGAAGGACTCGACAATGATCTAGGTGTGTTATAATTAAACAGAAATGAGAGTTACTGCCCTATGGGAAAGTTCTACTTCATTTTTTGTCTCCACGGAATATGAAATATACAGGCTTTCCCACCTTCCGATATCTGAGAGCCCAATCTTGTCCAGTTGGGTACTTCTACTTTCAAATGCAAATCTATCATCTAACCATTTCAGCTCCATCTCAAACTTCTTCCCAAGACTATATGAGCCATATTAATAATAAAATGCTAAGACAATGTTTAACCTTTACAGTATATACATATAAAATGATAAAAAACTGACCAAGGAGTGCACATAGTGTGGGCAATAAATAGAAAAATATGCCTTACCGAAGAACAATGGCAGTAGACAAATACTCCCCGTAAGGCTGAGACTAAGGTATTTGTTATTATTAGAATCAGAAATAATAAGAATAAACTATGGCTTCAAAGTGTTAGGTAACTTAATTCACTGCAGCCTTTTAACTGACTCTACCTATCCAGATATTTGGCTTAAGTAATTTTTTCTGGCAAACTATTATTTTATATCAGGGGGTAGATAAACACAGAATACGTCAGAACAACTCATTCAAGAGAGGTTCCTAGGTGTCAGCCAACAAACTGCTTAAAGCATCTCTCAAATGTGGAGAGGAAAGGATTTTGTAATTTAGTATTGTCAGAATCTTAACCTTGTTAAATCCTAACAAGTTAATTTAGTTTATGTAAGCACTTCACATTTAGTAGCATAAACATATTCATTTAGAAAACTTCATTATAAGCATCATGTTTTTTGGTTACATCTGAAGTCTTAAAAAAAAAAGGAAGAAATAAGATGACACATCAACTATTACCCAGGATAATACCTGGCATACAGTAGATATTGGAATGTTTGTCAACTAGAAAAGGTATTACTGGGGCCAGCCTGGTGGCGTAGCAGTTAAGTTCGCGCGCTCCACTTCAGTGGCCCGGGGTTCACTGATTCGGATCCTGGGTGTGGACCTACTCACCACCCATCAAGCCATGCTGAGGCCAAGTCCCACATAGAAGAACTAGAAGGACCTACAACTAGGACATACAACTATGTACTGGGCTTTGGGGAGAAAAAAGAAAGGAAGATTGGCAACAGATGTTAGCTCAGGGCCAATCTTCCTTTAAAAAAAAAAAAAGATAATAGTCAAAACGAGAACTTGAAAGTCATGTCTCTTTAAAGCATTCCAAATTTTCCTAAACTACAGGAAAGGAATAATAATAATACACATTCAAGTAAATCATCATTCAGTGTGTTCTTATGCTTTGTATTGCATGACTTGAAGCATAAAAACTAGTTTAATAGCTTATTGTAAAAGTAACAATGAAGTATGTGATAATCACTATATAAAAGAATTACATATTTATAAACAGAATCTTGTTCTAATCATTTTCTTATAAAGACTGAATGCTAAAGGCAAAGTCACTGAGAAAACTTACCCATTATGCTCTCCTTTACTTAGCATTTAGCATTGAGTACAAAAGTGTCAATAGCTTCCATATAATTACTAAAAAAAATTATATAAAAAGTTTTGGCATAAAGTAGAAGCCAAAGTGGATTCTCAGGTTAGTAATCAAATGAGGGCTTTTTACTTGACCCCAACAAATAATGGCTTATTCACAATATGTAAATTAAATATCACAAAGTATAAAATCATAAGCTAGTTTCTGATATTTTAAAGAATCTTTACCTTAAATACTAAAACAGTAAAATGACTTGAGTACAAGAATAGTAGAGAATTGTATAAAAGGCCTTCAGACGAAGTTACCACAACAAAAAGTTTAAAAACTCTTTAAAACCAGTGAAAATAAAACTAACCAGACCATTAACAGTAGATGTATAATAGGCGAATTTATGGTTTTCCTCGATATTGAAAGCAATAGAAAACAAGCTTGAAATATATGGCATTTAGATGATTGAAATATTTAAGAAATACATATACACATTTATAAAGGTTTATAGCATAATTCCTTTTTAAAATCAATGTCAGTAAGCATTGTGCACTGGCTATAACAATGAATAGAAAAAGAACAATCATAATACCGACCATTTGACATAGTAACGCTGCAGAAAATAAATAACCTACAGGTTTCTCTGATATGCCTTGACTACACATATTAATCCAAAAGTCATACTAATGGAACATTCTTAAAACCAGAAAACATTTTGCAATATGAATATTTATGCTTCACTTTAAAATGTGAATATTCTAAATTATTATTTACACCACCTTATCCCTAAGGCCTTGTCTACACATAAAGTGAGTGAAATGAGGAATTGAAGTACTGTTTTAAATTGTAGCCAACCCAAGCACACTGCCTCCCCAACATGCCTCCTCACCCAAAAAGTGTTTGAGTGTTCACCAGCTTTAATTACCACTGTAGGGGAAATTAACTAAAATTACAGATAGCCATAAAATAACTTTAATTAGGTTTTTTGGTTTGTATTGGTTTAATGGTTTTTTAAATTTTATAAAAACTAGGTAAGTTAAGACATAAAATACCCAATTTATCAACACATTTGGAATAAAAGCTGTATGGCGAGTTTGATACTCAAATTCTTTTTTGATAATTGATCCTTTAATTACTTTCCATAATCTAACAGAATTCAACACAAGACAAAGAAATGCCTTGTTTAATGTAATTAAAAACTTCGAGTTAAAGTGAAACTTTAATTTGCTGGGTCTGTTAGTAAGTGTAATAAAGAAAACTATATTAGGATTATGTTTTAGTTTTCCTTTGGTATTGAGATATATTACCAGTATCCAATCAATCCTGTTATTTTTCTTCAAAAATACTGATAATTTAAGGATGTTTCTTGGGGAGAATGAGAATTTGACAACAGATGATAACTGCTTTGTGTATCAAGGAAAATGTGGTTAAAACCAAGCAGTTTACCTCTCATAATGATTTACCTCTCATACGATTTACTTTGGTGGAAAGCCCATTTATATTTGATAATAGATTAGAGACATTAGACTTTTCCAATTTCTTCTTTTGCAAGAGTATAAACATGAGGACATGACTATGGAACTATGTATCTTCAAATTGTTATTACATGATTTCCTGTTACTTTTAGGTATTCTTTGACTTTTAGTGGCATTAATCAAGTTAAAGAAAGGAAACCTAAGTACTAAAGAGTTTATAGAAGATTACACAGAAACACAGTAGTTACTTCTGCATGGTGAGATTAGAGTGTTTTTTTTTCATTCTATTTGTATTTCTTTCTTACATATTTCTACATTGTTTATACAATAGATATCTTTCAAGATCAAAGAAGATAACTGTATAATGCAATGATGCCAGCTTACCTATCACACAAACATCTTGAAGATAATTAACTGTCAAAGCCAAAGTTTTAAAGAAGACACTTTCTTAGGTATTTCCAACTATATTTTACCCACCTCAGAAGCATTTTTAAGTCTATGGAATGTCCATAGATTCTAGAATATTTGTGCAATTCTGCTTTTTATATAATACTTCACATCAGGCATAATCTAATTGCAGTGTGGGTCTATTCTAATATAAATCAGTAATCTAAAAACATTTTAACAACCAATTTAGTGCCATCCTAGAAAAGGATACATATAACACACATCCCAGAATATATGCTTTTGACTTATATAACAGGATTTATCATTTTAGCTTTCCTATTTAATACTTTAAAATAATAGTTTGAAAATTGCATATAACTAGAAAAATCACTGTGGCATCCTATAGCTAACCCTAATTTACAAAAACAGTGAGTACAAGTTTTTCTCTTATATATATATACCATGCTATTATACTTGAAGTAAGTCTGTACAGCCATTCTGAAAGTATTTATATTGAAGTTTAAGAAGAAAGTATATTAAGAAAACAGAAAAATAGCATCAACTTCGACTGGCACACCTTAACAAAAAAATTTTTTTAGCTTAAATGGCCAAAACATTTCCTTATGTTCATATTATAGTTTTATTGGGCCAAGAAGCTGACAAGTTTGTTCAAAAGTGATGATGGACAGATTTCTGAAACAAAAAGTATCAACAGCAGCTCTTAAAGAAGCATCTCTTTGTTCAAAACATTTTAATGTTCAATGTAATGAGAACTTGCTTCCTTTTCTAGTCTTAGCGTGTTTCTTATGGCCAAGTCCATATTTTCTTGAAATTCTTTATATGTATTGGTGATTGGAAGAGCCAAACAGTTATTACACTTGTTTCCAACAGGAAAATCCATATGAAGGCACTCAATTGAAGGAGTGGGTTTAAATCCCGCAGGTGGAATAGAATTGCAACCAGTTGTAAAACTAAGAATGTCTTCCACTGTTGTTGCAGATTTACCATCTGAAAAGTTCACCAAAAAAAGAGGAAAAGAAAGAAAAATAAATCCATGTTATATATTGCTACCATCATAGACTCTTCCTCAACTAGACTAGGAATGTTGAAAGGCAAGAGTCTCCCACATTTATCTTGGGCAAACTAAATCACTAAGTCAAGTGTTGTAATAGGAAAACAGTACAGTCAATAAATGTTTATTTGAATCTCAAAGTAGGACTCATAAAATCATTTAGTTGAAATACTCATTGTATATTTGAATGCCTTCTCTAATATAAAATTATCATATAGTCCAACAGGTTCTGTGGGTTTTAAAACTCCATTTTTTGGGGGTATGATACTAAAAACAATTTTAAATCACTTCTAGATCATCACTATTTGATAAACTAGTTCAACCAATGCAGAGAGAAAAACTAAATGGTGTCAAACAACCAAACAACCTAGCTAAAAAACACTGCAATTAAAAGTTAAATTTTTTCCCACTCTATTAAATGGAATCACTTTACATTGATAATGCTCAGTGATAAACATCATTATCATAGCCCCAACCAATGGATGAACAATAATTCAATTTAACTTAAAACTAAAAAAGATGAAATAGATGATAAGTTTTAAGACTATTCTATGCTGTGGCAATCACCCATATATTTAAAGTTTTCTAGGAAGAATGCCTTTCACCCCAAATTAGCTAGAGGAAAAAAAACTGCAAAATATAACTTTACTCTGTAACTTCTCATCATCACTTTCAACTCAGTCATATAAACTTGTTTTGAAATAAGTTTTGTAAATATATAGTTAGCAGATGAAAGTCTTATTATCAAAAAGCAAAACTCAAGCAAATAAACTAATATCCTGAAACAAACATTCTAAGACAGTTAAACAAAAATAAAACATCCACATACCTTCAACAGCTTGTAAGTAACTGTTCCAAAACCCCAAAGTCTGTACGTCAGATAATGTGTGTACTGTAAAAAGATCACTAAGGATTTTTGTGGAAAGATTCTCAGGTTTATGACATAAGATGCTATAAAATGCTTCTGGATAAGTCTGAATTTTCTCCAAAACACCAAGAGTTTTCAGACCCTGCTTAAAACTTAAGAGAAGAAAAATAATGAGCCAACATTTATACACATGTTTGATATTAGAATAGGGAATTAACATTTCTAGCTAATATACTACCACAGATAGTTAAATGTGAGGAAAAAGATATAAAAATATGGGTGTACTATACGTGATATGATACTTTCAAATCAATAACAAGCAAATATATTAATGTAAAATGAATATTTTATATGCCACATTATTTGGCTTTATAGAATAGTTTTAAAATTAAGCCAACAATTTTTTATTAAGAAGAAAAAAGTAGACATCTGAAGTATTTTACACTTCAAAGCTAGTTAGTATACTGGGGCTGGCCTGGCGGTGCAGCGGTTAAGCGTGTGCGTTCCGCTTCAGCGGCCCGGGGTTCACAGGTTTGGATCCCAGGCACACAACACCACACTGGCTTATCAAGCCATGCTGCGGCGGCGTCCCATATAAAGTAGACGAAGATGGGCACGGATGTTAGCCGAGGGCCAATCTTCATCAGCAAAAAGGAGGAGGATTGGCATCAGATGTTAGCTCAGGGCTGATCTTCCTCACCAAAAAAATAAAAAATAAAAAAAAAATAAATGGGTACAGAAAGAAAGTATCTCAACAAAATAAAGGCCATATGTGACAAACCCACAGCTAATGTCATACTCAATGGAGAAAAACTGAAAGCTATCCCTCTAAGAACAGGAAGCAGACAAGGATGCCCACTTTCGCCACTCTTATTTAACATAGTATTGGAAGTCCTAGCCAGAGCAATCAGGCAAGAAAAAGAAATAAAAGGGATCCAAATTGTAAAGGAAGAAGTGAAACTGCTACTATTTGCAGATGCCATGATTTTATATACAGAAAACCCTAAAGAATCAACTAAAAAACTTTAGAAATAATAAATGAATACGATAAAGTTGCAGGATACATAATCAACATACAAAAATCAGTTGCGTTTCTATACACTAACAATGAAGTAGTAGAAAGAGAAATTAAGAATACAATCCCATTTCCAATTGCAACAAAAAGAATAAAATAGCTAGGAATAAATTTAACCAAAGAAGTGAAAGACCTGTACAAAAGTTTAAAACATTGTTGAAAGGAACTGAAGAAGACACAAAGAAATGGAAAGATATTCTGTGCTCTTGGATGTGAAGAATTAACATAGTTAAAATGTCCATACTTCCAAAAATAATCTACAGATTCAATGCAAAGTTCCAATGACATTTTTCACAGAAATAGAACAAAGAATCCTAAAGTTTATATGGAACAACAAAAGACCCCGAATACCCAAAGCAATCCTGAGAAAAAAGAACAAGGCTGGAGGTATCAAACTCCCTGATTTCAAAACAAACTACACAGCTATAGTAATCAAAACAGCATGGTACTGGCACAGAAACAGATATAAAGATCAATAGAACAGAATCAAGAGCCCAGAAATAAACCCACACATCTATGGACAGCTAATTTTCAACAAGGGAACCGGGAACATACAATGGAGAAAGGAAAGTCTCTTCAATAAATGGTGCTGGGAAAACTGGACAGCCACATGCAAAAGAATGAAACTAGACCATTATCTTACACCATACACAAAAATTAACTCAAAATGGATTAAAGACGTGAATGTAAGACCTGAAACCATGTAACTTCTAGAAGAAAACATAGGCAGTATGCTCTTCGACATCAGTCTTATCAGCATATTTTCAAGTACCATGTCTGACTGGGCAAGAGAAACAACAGAAAAAATAAACAAATGGGACTACATCAAACTAAAAAGCTTCTGCACAGCAAAGGAAACCATCAACAAAATGAAAAGACAATCGAACAATTGGGAGAAGATATTTGCAATCCATATATCTGATAAGGGGTTAACATCCAAAATATATAAAGAACTCATACATCTCAACAACAAAAAACTAACAACCCAATTAAAAAATGGGCAAAAGATCTGAACAGACATTTTTCCAAAGAAGATATACAGATGGCCAACAGGCACAAGAAAATATTTTCGGGCCGGCCCCGTGGCTTAGCCGTTAAGTGCGTGCGCTCCGCTGCTGGAGGCCCGGGTTCGGATCCCGGGCGCGCACCGACGTACCGCTTCTCCGGCCATGCTGAGGCCGCGTCCCACATACATCAACTAGAAGGATGTGCAGCTATGACATACAACTATCTATTGGGGCTTTGGGGGGGAAAAAATAAATAAATAAAATCTTAAAAAAAAAAAAAAGAAAATATTTTCAACATCACTAATTATTAGGGAAATGCATATCAAAACTACAATGAAATATCACCTCACACCTGTCAGAATGGCTATAATTAACAAGAAATAACAAGTGTTGGAGAGGATGTGGAGAAAAGGGAACTCTCATACACTGCTGGTGGGAGTGCAAACTGGTGGAAAACAGTATGGAGATTCCTCAGAAAATTAAGAATAGAACTACTGTACAATCCAGCTATTCTACTGGTAGGTATTTATCCAAAGAACAAGAAAACACGAATGTGTAAAGATACATGCACCCCTATGTTCATCGCAACATTACTCACAACAGCCAAGACATGGAAGCAACCTAGATGTCCGTCAAAGGATGAATGGATAAAGAAGATATGGTATATATACACAATGGAATACTACTCAGCCATAAAAAACGACAAATCTTGCCATTTGCGACAACATGGATGGACCTTGAGGGCATTATGGTAAGCGAAATAAGTCAGAGGGAGAAAGTCAAATACCGTATGATCTCACTCATAAATAGAAGATGAAAAGAACAACAAACACATAGAGACAGAGATTGGATTGGTGGTTACCAGAGGGGAAGGGGGTAGGGTGGAGGGCAAAAGGAATGATTAGGCACACGTGTATGGTGATGGATGGTAATCAGTCTTGGGGTGGTGAACATGCTGTAATCTACACTCAAACTGAAATCTAATGATGTACACCTGAAATGTATATAATGTTATAAACCAATGTTACCTCAATAAAAAAAAAATGACCACAAGAAGGAAGAAACTAACCTAATCCAAAACATAAACAACCAAACAGGAAATTCAGAGGCAGGAATAAAAAGAATTTTTATCTTTAAAAATAAATTTAAATAAATAAAAATTTAAATGTTATTTTATTTTATCAAATATATCTCCCATTATAAGACAATTAACCACTTTAAACACGTAATTTGAGAGTATCTTTCACATATAAACAACTTACCTTTCAAAGGGTGCTTGGACTCTCTTAATTACATGGCAAACAAGTAGGTCTTTTGCCAACATATATTTATCACTTAATGATGTTATAATTCTTAGACATCCAGTAAGCTCTAGGTAGTTATAGCATTCATTTACTATTGAGTTTAAGTCAGCTGTACATGTTGCAGCATTTATCTGTAATGAAGAAAATATATGCAGCTTACCCATTTACTTGTGAATATTTACATTTCAAATGACACATTACTTTATACTCAATTCTTGAGTACACCAGGTGGAGTTAAAGTATACAAAGAATTATCTTTTTAGAATAAATATTTGACAATTCAGTTCAATAAATATTGTATATTTCTGCCTTCAAGAAATCTAGAGTATAACGCCACTTTAACCCAGGAAATTATTTACATAAAAGGCAATAATTGACACAGAACAGTTATATACCACTAGAGGCGCAAGAGAGATGACCTGAGGAGATGTCATGAAAGAGAAAGAATATCAACTGAGACTTAAAAGATGGAGAGAACTGAAAGAGTATTTCAGGGAACAGCATAAACAAAGAAATACTTGACCATTTTATATGCCACATATGTTCATATAGGTTAGTTCTTGGACAAAGTTACAGAGGGAGAAAGATAAAAACAGGAGGCAGTTAATAGTACATTTGAATGGAAAATTTCCTTCTTATTTCTTCTTTCCAAAAAACTCTACTCCCAGATATTTACACAATTCCCTCATTCACTTCAGATCTCTGCTGAAATCTCAGAAGTTTTTCCTGACTACCTGGTTCAAAATACCACCATCACACTCTGTCAGAGACTAATACTTGGGTCTATGCTGCCTCATCCTTCCAAACCACCACCCTGAGTTTTAGCTGGGCACAAAGCCAAACTTTCCTTACAGCTAGATGTGACTAAGAGCTGTCCAATAAGATGTGAGTGAAAATGCGGCAAACTTCCCTGTACCCTATTTCCACTTTCCCTCTTAAGAGCAAGCTTCAGCCATGTATATGAAGACAATATCCTAAGTGATTACACAACAACGACAGGAAGTAATCCCGTTCTCTGGATGACTTGATATATCACAACTGTATCTCTAAAATAAGAGCCATTTCTGTAAAGGCCAGATATAGCATTTTACGCTTTGTGAGCCATATGGTTGGTGTCTGTCACAATTACTCAATTCTGCTATTATAGTGAGAAAGTAGTCATAGACACACAACCAATGGGTGTGGTTGTAGTCCAATAAAACTTTATTTACAAAAAGAGACAGTAGCACAGACTTGGCCTACGGCCATAATTTGCCAACCCTTACCCTAAAATCTAGATAAGAGATTTTAAAGATTTTATTTATTTATTTCCCCCCTCTCCAAAGCCCCAGTAGATAGTTGTATGTCGTAGCTGCACATCCTTCCAGTTGCTGTATGTGGGACACGGCCTCAGCATGGCCGGAGAAGCGCGCGCGTCAGTGCGCGCCCAGGATCCGAACCCGGGCCGCCAGCAGCGGAGCGCGCGCACCCAACCGCTAAGCCACCCGGCCGGCCCTAGATAAGAGATTTTAGAGAGAAATAACTATCTGCTTTTTTTTTGAGCCATTGTCTTCTGGAGTCTCTTTTTACAGAGGCTTAGCCTAAGTTCTAACTTATTATACTTATGCATTATATATCTCCTTTCTTTTCTTTTATTTATTTTTATAATACATTTTACTATATGACAGTATATTATATATTTATCTTCTGTCCACCCTCTAAAAATGAATCCCATGGAGCTAAGGATTTTGTTTGGTTCACTACTCTGTCTTCAGTGATCAAACAGTACAGGGTACAGAGTATTTGTTGACTAAATGAACAAACAAACACTGAATAGGAGTACAGAAACAGGAGTATATAAAGCCATGAGAGTTGGAAGTCTTAAATGCCCTAATGAAGAGCTTGAACTTGGTTCAACAGGCAACGAGAAGCCACTGAGGATTCCAGAGGAAGAATGTGGTCAAAACGATAGTTTTGAAAGAATCACCCTGAATAAGAAGATTAGAATAATATCCTAATTGTTTAAGGCTAGATATAATTTGAGTTTGGTATAGTAGACACACTGGAAATAAGAAGGAAAGGTTGAAGATAAGCCAGTCTTAGAGACAGATGACTTGACACATACCGATAAATGGAGTATGGAAGAATGAAAACAGTATCTTCTCCAGAATGGCCTGGAAGTAAGAAATCTCTTGAAAAGAATAGTAAAATCAGGCCAAAAACAAATTCAGGGAAAAACATTAGCTCTGTTTTAAACATGTTGGGCTCAAAGTGATAGCAAGACTCAGATCCTATCTAGATATAAAAGTCTAGGGGCTCAAAAATACAGGTCTCGGAATCATTCAAAAAGGTTATGGGTGGGCCAGCCCAGTGGCTTAGCGGTTAAGTGCACGCACTCCGCTACTGGCCACCCGGGGTTCAGTTCCCAGGCACGCACCAACGCACCACTTGTCCGGCCATGCTGAGGCGGTGTCCCACGTACAGCAGCTAGAGGGATGTGCAACTATGACGTACAGCTATCTACTGGGGCTTTGGGGAGCAAAGCGGGGAAACAAAAAAGGAGGAGGATTGGCAATAGGTGTTAGCTCAGGACCGGTCTTCCTCAGCAAAAAGAGGAGGATTGGCACGGATGTTAGCTCAGGGCTGATCTTCCTCTCACACACAAAAAATAAATAAAAATAAAGCTTATAAAAAAACAAACAAAAAAAACATTTCTTAAAAAAAAAGAAAGGTTATGGGTGAGAGGAAGCATTCCAAACAGTATAGAATGAGGACTGTTAAGACTGAAAAATACGTTAAGTTTCAGGGGTAGGAAGTCTTGAAAAATATGTAAGTTTCAGGGGTAGGAAGAAAAAACATTAAAAAAGACAGTAGCAGTCAAAAGTAAGAGGGAGTACAACATTAAAGAAAACAGTAGAGAGGAATTTGAAGACAGTGGTGATTGCAGAAGTCAGAGAAGATGAGGGATTAGAAGAAAGGCCTTTGCATGTGGAGATTTAGATCCCTGGATATCAGCTATGACTATCTAACTTGGAAGAGTGGTGGTGAGAACAGAAGTATAATGATAAGAAGTTAAGAAATAACAGGAAAGAGAAAGTAGAGAAAATGAAGTTAAACTAAAGTACATTTTTTGGTAAAGAGGAGAAAAGGAAAAATAAGTTGAAGATTTAAAGGGTCAATTTAAATTACCATTTTAGGATGAGAAGTCTTGGGCCAAATAAATGGAATTATTATAACAACACACTTCCATATTGCTTGCTTTGTGGTTTAGAAACTACGGTTTAACAAGATTAACATGCCCAAGGTCACGCAGCTTATAGCAGTCATTTCAAAGTAAAATCTGACTTCTGAGTATTTGCTTTTAACCATTAAACTACATTGTTTTTTTTCTTTCTTTTTTTTTTTTGTTTGGTGAGGAAGACCAGCCCTGAGCTAACATCCAATGCCAATTCTCCTCTTTTTTGCTGAGGAAGATTGGCCCTGAGCTAACATCTGTGCCCTTCTTCCTCCACTTTATATGGGACGCCGCCACAGCATGGCTTGACAAGTGGTGTGTCAGTGTGCGCTCGGTATCCGAACCTGCGAACCCTGGGCCACAGAAGCAGAGCATGCGCACTTAACTGCTGCACCACTGGGCCGGACCCTCAACTATACTGCTTATTAATTAAGACAACGGATAGAGTAGGCTTAAGTAGGGGGGAGGTTGAGGGAAGAAAAGTTGAATGGCTTTCAATGTCTCAGTTAATTTCCAAATCAGTAACATGTAGACAATGATACTTATCTCATAGGGCATTATAACTAAACAATCTGTACATGTAACGTGTAGTACAGGGCTCAATAAATGGTAACTATTTTTAGGTGGGAACATTGAGTCTCCCCACTTGTTTCCATATAGAAGAAATTCAGCCTGGTCTTTCTCTCCACCTGTCACTCATACCTCCTTGTAGGAGGAAGGATAAGTTTTCTGACCAGTAAGCCAAGTCCTTCCCCTCTTCAGATTCACCTGCCTGCAGGAAAGTGCACTTTCATCTGCTCTCTAGCTGCAACAAGGAAGTTGCTTCATATTTTCTCTGGCCGGGTAGATAAATCCATCTAGTTCTAAGGAGTGTTAGCAAGCCATTTGACCACAGATCGAAGTCACAGTATCCAACTGGTTTTATCAACATTAAACCTGTACTTTGATCTCTAGCTGTCTGACCTTTACATCTATCTCTTAACTGGTTGTGAACTCTGCTGGTAAACAGAAATATTGACACTTCTTAACTACTCCACAAAGAGCATTATTATTCTATTGCAGATCCATTATTTATATTCAAATATACCTAGGATGTAGCCTACATTTTAATACACAGGTACATTTCTTACCCTGATTATAATTTGTGCCACATCAAAGTCTGAAACATCGTCTAAAATTGGTTGGGTATTTTCTGGTCCATAAACAAGGCAGTTAAACAAGGTTTTAGAAAAGAAACCAGGTGAAGGACCACCATGAACCAAAGAAATGGCAAGCATTTTTCCAGCTTCATAGTAAAGATTCTCTTTCAGAGCTGTAAATACAGATGAAAATACATCAAATATACTTCTTTTATTATTATAAGATAACCATCATATATAATGAATACATATATAATAAATTAAAAATAAAAAACCCTAAGCAGTAGATAAATGTAAAATAACAATTCATAGAAGCTATAATCATGTATAAAATACAGATCTCACCTAAAATATACAAAAAATATATTTTTCTGAATACAAAGTAATAACCTATTGTAGAAGAAATGTAAATACAGAAAATCTTAAAAAAAGAAAAAAGCAACACCTATAATCCTACCACCATAATAACCAGTGTACACACTTTGGTGTATTTGCCGTTGTGTATATAAATATAAATAGTGTGACTTCTGTTTTTTTCTACTTACTATATTGTAAACTTTTTTTATATTATTCAAAATTATTCAAATCTACAGCTAATGAATGTATTAAGACTAATTTACAGAGGTGTTACTATGTAAACCATCCCCTTATTACTGGCTACCCTGGCTGAGTAACATTTGCAACTATGAGACACAATGTTACAATCAACATCTATTTACATATTCTTGGTTATATATCTTTGATTATTTGATTAGGATAGATTCCTACATATGGTATTCCTGGTTCAAAGCATATGAACATTTTTAAGGTTGTTGATTACATAGTCCTAAATTATCTTCCAAAATAGCACAAATTTACTCCCAACAATATATGTTCTATCACCATATCATCACAGCTTTCAATATTTTTTAAATTGTCATTTAAAAGGTTTTAGCTACTTTGTTAAGTCAAAAAGATATGTAAATTTTCCTTTTTTTCTGAAAGTTGTTCAAAGCAATTTATTAACAAGCAACATAACAATACCTGAACCAATAATAAAATCTCAACAATAACCTTATATACTACACATTAGTAGTCACATTTTACAGATGAAGAAACTGAGATCCAGAGAGGCTATGTAATTAATCCAAGGATATAAGGCTACTGAAGTAGATGTGTATACACTGACTTAGATTTTGTGACTTAAATTCATGTACTTTCCACTGTACCAAAACTGCCTTGAGTGAACATTACTGATTATTTGGAGTGGTTTTTTTTTGAGGGAGTTTAGAATTAAGCTGTGCGTATTATATATAGTACAAATGATCCTTGGTAGTTTCTCAATTATTTTAATGATGCTTCAGGCAATGGTGAGGAAGTTCTAAGGAATACATAGGAGGAAACTCAAATGGAATGAAATAAGTCTTCTCACTCTCTTTTTTATAAAAGCTCCTAAAAAAGAATGCCAGAATTAATCAGTGTTTTGAGAGATCTGTTTTAATCACATCAATTCCTAGCAAGAAGTAAAGATAGAAAAGTATCATATACATAATTGTGTAAGAAAAATTCTTGAAAGCTAAAGTACATTAAAAAATCTGTTTCATGTGGACCAGAAAATTACACTATAAAAACCCTAGGTTGTAAAGAAATAGGCCAAATGCAAATTCCGAATATTTGAACAAGAAGGGCTCAAATAATCATCCATCCTATTTGGCTACTCTATTTAAACAAAATTAGAACGAATATAAAGTACATTCTTAAGAAGTTACACTTAATTATGGAATCACTTCAAGGAGGATATTGCTATAAAGAAATTACAGATATTCTTAAACACAAAACGTGTCATTACAAAATTTACTTTTAAAAATATCACATCTCCTCCTCTCTTTCCTGTGATTCTATCAGTATTTTATTAACAAAGTGAATTACACATTTGACCACAGGTATTGAGTATTAATTCTAATCAGCTATCTCTTTCTTTACACATGGTATATTCAGTATGTACAATAATAAATAAAATAATTACCTTGAGAATTTAGAGACAAGTTCTTTGACAAGGACCCTTCAAACAATGGTGAGTTCTCAAGACGCTGCATTAAGAGACTTAGGAATTCTTGCTTTGATCCAGGATATTCTCTTCCAAAATTATCATTGTCATCAACATATACTACTTCAATTGTGTATGAAGGATTAAAGTTTTTATTTCTGAATCCATTTAAGGCACTATTCCAGATATTGGCTTTGTTGACATATAATCTTTTAGTTTTTTTTTTAATTTGAAATCCTAGTTCTATTATAATGCTTGCAATATCTCTTCTAAATTTGCTGCCTTGCCTATAAAACATGAATTTAAACAGAGGTAAGTACTCTAAAGTACTTTATGTGACATAATAGTTATACAGCTAATAAAAAAGAATAGAACAAAAGATTAAAAGGAAGTTCTTCCCCAACTCCCACCCAAAAGCAGACAATGGCTGCCACTGAAACCAAATACAGTTATTTGATAACCTTAGTTCTAAATTCTTGATTTCCTCTCCCCAGTCTTATCAAATTAAAATCATTTAATGTCATAAATGATTTATGAGAATGCCGATAGATGATTATCTCAATTTGATCAATTTAGTGGATTCAGAAGCTCAAACTCTCACCTTTCTGGCCAATGGCTAAAATATACACTCGCCTAACTGTATCTTATATTTCACGTTCACTAGATCCTTTAAAAATAGAGCAAACATAATCTCTGCTGACTATATGAGAGAACTATAGCTTTAAGAGATTACACAATGTATTTTTAATCATAAAGTTAATTAACAGTAGAGCTAATATGATAAACAGAATTCACAACTCTTTATACAGTACTTTTTAGTCTATACCAGTAATTCTCAAAGTGTGGTCCCAGATCAGCAGAAGCAGCAAACACCTGGAAACTTGTTAGAAACAGAAATTCTTGAGCCCCACAGCAGAAAGACAGAATCAGAACCTCTGAGCATGAGGCCCAGCAATCTGTCTCTTAACAAGACCTCCAGGCAACTGTATGAACTAACTCAATTGCTCCCTGCCTCAGTTTCTCCATCTGTAATTGAGATTGATGTACTCAAAATAATCCTGTTTGGGGCAACGTCCATGGATCATCTTTCTATATCAAGTATAAATTTTTCCCATCCTAAGACATTATAATAGCCTAGTGTGGGCAAGGCTTTGCTTTTTCTTTCTTCACACAACCCCCTATTCATTAACCCAGGTGGAAGGAAATCCAAAGTCTTCTGACAATAATCCTTCAGAAATATACCTTCTTGTAGCAGGTTGCTTCCTTGCTCCTGCCTGGAATGGGAATGCCCATGCTATTCTAGAATATGATGGGATGTTAAAAGCAGGAGCAAGAGGGCCGGCCCAGTGGTGCAAGCAGTTAAGTGCATGCGCTCTGCTGCAGCGGCCCAGGGTTCGCCGGTTCGGATCCCGGGCACGCACCGATGCACCACTTGGCAAGCCATGCTGTGGCGGCATCCCATATAAAGTGGAGGAAGATGGGCATGATGTTAGTCCAGGGCCAGTCTTCCTCAGCCAAAAAAAAAGAGGAGGATTGGCAGATGTTAGCACAGGGCTGATCTCCTCACACACACAAAAAAAGCAGGAGCAAGAAATCAAACATCTTTGGAAATCTAAATATTAAAATTATTTAAAACTAATGTGAATATTTTTTGATAATAAAAATATTATAAAAATTTTCAGTTAACACAAGTGGTATCTTAAAACAGCAATTCTTCACTTTTTGAATAGTAATCTACTATTCACTTCTATCTACAAATCTAGTTATCAAATATTTTCATAAAAATTCTCTCTTCCCTCTCACTTTTAACAATACTATTTTAACAAGGAAGTACTTCATCATGCTTAACTACTAATGTTATTTTTGTCTATTTTTCCTACTGGCTAAAAGCAACGTTCTATACAAACCCTTTTGCAAAGCTACATGTACTTAAAAATACTAACTTCAACTGAACGAATACCTGACACGGCATGAAGACGTAATTTTAGTGTTATTTAAATGTTTATGAATGATTTTGCAAGTTACTTATTTTGCTGTTTTATAAAAAGTTAGGCGTTAATACATAATACTTGTAAGAATGCCTTAAGCTTTCTAAAGAGCTGACATTTAGATCTTGACACTAAATGTATATTAAACAAATGATTATAAAATTAAAAAGTAAACCATCTCTTATTAAATATGATTCTTTCCTTTTAACAAAGTAACATGGTATGCTTGATATTTTAATTTCCTGTCTTACTCTATAATCAAATAAAATTTTAAGCACATTTGCTAGATCAGTGCTTTTTAAACTATCTTGAAAATGATCTATAATAAAAAATATATTTTTCATCATGACTCAGTACACAACTAAAAATATTTCATATACGTTCTATTAGTAATGCAATCTGATATTTTATATTCTATTCTATCCTGTTTTTCTTTTTTTTAATGTTGTTTGCATTGATTTCATTACCAAATGCTGGGTCTTAGAGTCTGAAAAATATTCTTCCAGACTTCTGTAAGATCAGCTAATATTCTAAGTGTACACAGCCACTTTCTGTTGTAATTTTCTCAAAATAGAGTTTTATATTTTTCTCCAATTCAAAATACACACCTCAGCAGATCTTTATGCTGGGCTCCAGGTGACTGTCTGGGTAATTTAGGTGATGATTCTTCCAACAAACAATCGGTTATGCCCACATTATTAGTGTTGGGTAACGTATGTTTTTTGGCTTTTTGGAATTCCCCTGCAGATTTAAATCCCAACGTTAGCATAATAGAAATACAGGTAGAAACTTTTTAGTAATATGCATTTGAATGAAAACATCTTTATTCAAAATTACAAAATATTACCTGAATTATAGAGAATACCTCTACATTCCAAACACTCCCAATTTTGTTCCCATGATCGTAGTGAGGAACAGGCTAAATGTGTTCCGCTAGAACCACAACACTGACAGCGCTTTATTTCCCATTTGCTGAGGACATAAAGGGAAGCAGATGTTTACATTTTGGTATTAACTTAGTCTAATTCCAACCACTGCCACAGGCCTCACTGTCTGTTGCACGCAAACAACTGACCCTTTTACTAAAGCAGGAAAAATAGATTATCTGCTTTGAAACTGCATTACTTTTCCTTAAAGTATTTTTTTTTATTTCATTTATGATGCTTGTGACCTCCTCTTCTAAATATTCTCTAACTTAAAATACCTAACCTAAATACCCAACACGTACAGGCACATGCACAGACACAAAAAATATGAACATCAGAAAGAATATGATTAAGGAGGAAAAAAATTTTTCTTTTATATTTGGAGATGACTCTGTTCATAGAAAGATTGCTCTGTCAGTGTGCCTAATTTGGAAGAACCATTCAGTAAATTCATCATCTTACCTAAAACATTATCTTTCCCATGCAAGGTGACAAATTATTTCCTGCCACAAGCTTACTCAGACACTTCAGGTATATGCAGCTCAAGAGGATCCAGACTTACTAACTGGCCCACATTCGTATTCTCTCTCATTTATTCCCCCTAACCCCTCAGGCGCATGTTTCCCCACTGTGTTGTGTGACATGTGCCGTCCATATTCACATTTCCTGTACGAGTGTGGGTGTAGGTTGTGGTGTGGGGCCTCCTCTTTGCATGGTTATGAGCACACCCTCTCTGTATAGAAATGGATATACTCCGTGATTATGTGGATGTGTGAGTGATAAGAGAGGTAGCTGGATACTCTCCCCTCTGGTAGGTGTGGGCAAATCTCCCTCTGTGTGGATATGGGTGTGTAGGTATGTGTCCCTCCCTCTTCCCCAGATAGTTCTGCCAACTGATGATGAAGAGAAAGAAAGATGACAGATAACATGAGTGCTTATTATACACCAGGCCCAATTTTCATTCTTACATGAAAAGTTTAATCCTCACAATTTTATTTTATTTTATTTATTTTTTTTGTGAGGAAGATCAGCCCTGAGCTAACATCCATGCTAATCCTCCTCTTTTTGCTGAGGAAGACCGGCTCTGAGCTAACATCTATTGCCAATCCTCCTCCTTTTTTCCCCCCAAAGCCCCAGTAGATAGTTGTATGTCATAGCTGCACATCCTTCTAGTTGCTGTATGTGGGACGCGGCCTTAGCATGGCCGGAGAAGTGGTGAGTCAGTGCGCGCCCGGGATCCGAACCCGGGCCACCAGCAGCGGAGCGCGCGCACTTAACCGCTAAGCCACGGGGCCCACCCAATCCTCATAATTTTAAAAGGCAGGGAAAACCACCGTGACATCCATTTTAAAGAAGAGGAAACCAAGGCATAGGGGATAAATAACTTGCCCAATCAAGTTCACATTGCTCATAAGTCTCATAGTGTGGTTTCCACCCCAGTTTACCTGGCTTCAGACCCATGCTCCTAACCACCACACCATGCTTTCAGCAAAACTGCCTTCCTATCACTAGGATGAGAGCAAGTGAGATTAGGAAAGAAAGCATTCAGATGGCAGGTATCTGTATCCCAGGAGAAAAGGCAAGGGATAGCAATCTTGCCTCTGTCTAGCTGCCAGACAGAAATGGGTGTTTGGTAGCTACTGATTGGGTGACCAGCAGTATACAAGAAATATATATAGGTTAATTAAAACAGTCTAAATGAATTTAGCAAATATCAATATTAATGAATGTATTGCTTCTTAAAACTCTAAAGCACTTTACTGCTTACAAAACTCATTTATATACATTATCTCATCTGTGCCTCAGCACATCCCTTGAGAGGGGTATTATTAGTGTTTATAAATGAATAAACAGGGTCACCAGATTAAGTAACATAGGCAAGAATACACATTACTCAACATCTTCAGTGAGATCTCTGCCATTAAAGAATTTTTAGTCTAATGGCAAAGACAAATTTATTACACTGTAACAAGCATGATAAAGCGAAAACCCAGCCCAGAATGGAGAATCAGGAGTGGTAAAAGCTGCTCAGGGGAAACTTTCCAAAGCTGGCAAGACCTCAGCTGAGTCTTCACAAATAAGTAGTAGGTGATCCAGCCAATCACTTTCCACCAGAAACAAGGTTCTTAATATTCTGCTCTGCACTTGAAGCTCCAGTTTGCCATGTTAAGTAAGATTGTGTAACAGGGATAAAATTTATTGAAATTTCCTACATAAATTTTGACAGAACTGGATTTGTTACTTTTTATTCTGCATCTTAAAAAATGAAGATACTCTTGATTTCTAGTATCTAACACAGTATAGTGTACATAAAAGGCAGAAAAATGATTGTTGATTGAAATTAGAGCCAGTATCTACTGACATTACAAAAGAGTAATCAATAAATTTCAAACACCAAACCATTTTTATAGTGATCCAAAAGAAACACTGCTAGATTAATCTAGTTAAATTAACTTCTAGAACAGTGCTATCTAATAGAAATACAATGCAAATCACATATGTAATTTACATTTTTCTAATAACCAGATTTAAGAAGATAAAAGACACAGGTGAAATGAATTTAAATATTTTCAAAATATTATCATTTTGTTCAACATGTAATTAATATAAAAAATTATTAACAGGATATTTTATTAAGTTCTTTTTTTCTTACTGCTATGGGCTGAATTGTGTCCCCCAAAATTCATATGTTGAAGTCCTAACACCCAGTACCTCAGGGCCTTGAAAGAGATAATTAAGATAAATGAGATAATTAAAGAGATAATTAAGATAATTTAAAGAGATAATTAAGATAAAATGAGGTCATATGGATAGGTCCTAATCCACTATGACTGGTGTCCCTATAAGAAAAGCAGATCAGGATGCAGACAGAGGGACAATCATGTGAGGACACAGCTAGAAGGGAGCCACATGCAAGCCAAGGAGAGAGGCCTTGGAAGAAATCAAACCTGCGAATACCTTTATCTTGGACTTCTAGCCTCTAGGATGGTGCGAAAACAAATTTCTGTTGTTTAAGCCACACAGTTTGTGGTATTTTGTTATGGAAACCCTAGCAAACTAAGATATAGTCTAAATCTTTGGTGTGTATTTTACAACACCTCTCAATTTAGAATAGCCATATTTCAAGTGCTCAGTAGCCATGTGGGGCTAGTGGCTACCACATAGGACAGTATAGCTCTAGAAAATGGAGCCTCATGAAAATACACCACAAAAATAAGGTACAACTATGCTGACTGCAGTAATTTCTCTGTCAATAGATGTAAATATACATTTAATAAATATACCTCATCTCAAGTTAAAACTTCAAACATCCAAGAGCAACAGTACATTTTACTAGCTAGAAAACCTACTTTCTCAGCTGAAGGTTTAAATAAGGACACTCAGCACAAACAAACTGCCCGGTATACCTATCAGGCACATTATAGTCTCGCCCTTCTTTGCAACGACATCTTCGGACATCGCAATGCTCATAGTGCTGCAGAAGCTCTTGATAAGCATTTTCCTCTAATTCCCAAGATGCGTCTCTGTAATTGAAGCAGGATATAAAATATACTTTGACCTAAAATGTTACATAAAAGGATTGGTAATGAATCTAAAAATAAAAACTTCTCTCATACTTAGGAACAAGGATAAAACTTGTTCTTTTTAGAAGTAATCATTCTCTTCAAGATATAAATCCATTAGTGTCATTTTATCCTACAGATAATTAGTCTCAGTGAATTTTCAAACGCTAAATGAAAAATTAAGCAGAAATTTTCTAAAATTTTTCCTAATATTTTACTTCCAATTTTTTAATTTAAAGTTTAGTATCATTTCTGGATTCCTCATCTTTAAGTATTAAGAAAATTCTTCTCATACATTTTAAACCACAACTTGGTTCTCTTAGATAATTCATACATACCATTTGGAAGTCTCTTATACTTGTGTATAAATCAATCAATTTATATAGTAACGACTGAGGTGTTTATTAACTAATGAGACACTGAAGTCACAGTCCCTGCCCTCAAGAACTAGCAACCTGGAGAGGAAAAGGGGGAGGCGGCGGGACGGCTTTACATTTCCCCATTTGAAATGGCTACTTGTCCACGATCACTTAATCAGACAGAAATGATAAATTCTACTGTTATTAAATCCTACATTTAAAACACCTTTTTGTTAAAAAACTAAATGTTACTCACTTTTCAGGAATATGAATTCCCATTCTCAACATTTCTTTCTGAAATATATCACTATTATTGCATATTGTGCACCTAAAGAAAAACACTCCTGCATTTATTGCTTGAACCTATAGTGGAAAACAGAAAATCTGTTGTTAACAATTTAACAGATTATCAGGTTATGAATTATAGAGTTAACAGAACATGTGCTATTTTTCACTTAATTTATTATGAAAACATTCTCTATGCTAGTAGTTCTCAAATTTTGATAAACTAAGTTATCCCACTGCTAAAATTTGGAGATCTTTTTTCCTAATGGTCAAAAAAAAAAAGTAAGCTAATAAATTGCCTGTTTTTAGCTTTACATCTATCACCCATATATTTTTTTCAACCTTTGATATCTAATGTCATTTCTGTCCCCAAATATTGTGTTGTCCATCACTCTTTGTGAATAACACAGTAAAAATCTTGAGCTACTTCATCTAGGAAGGATGTTTAAATAAGTGTTACATATACAGCATCCCTGGTTCTGTTTTTAACTCAATCTCTAAGTTAGTTTTCTTCCTAAGAGGGTCAAAGTATAAAATCTATTCTCACCGCTTCAGCAAATAACAAATACAGAAGCAGCAGGCAGAGGTACTTAGAGGAGACAGGAAATTATAAGCCTACTAGAAAGAGTAGACCATCCCCAATAAAAAAAATGTGTAGTACACATTCATTTAACAAACATGTAACCCCTACTATATAGGTGCTAAACAATATGCTATGTACCAAAAATAGCAACATAAAATGACTTAGACCCTACTTCAAGAAATCCTTGCGAGTAGGCACACAGGTATACAATATAATACAGCGTAAAAGTGTTTTTTTTTTTTTTTTTTTTTTGTGAGGAGATCAGCCCTGTGCTAACAACTGCCAATCCTCCTCTTTTTCTGCTGAGGAAGACTGGCACTAGGCTAACATCCGTGCCCATCTTCCTCCACTTTATACGGGATGCCGCCACAGCATGGCTTGCCAAGCGGTGCGTTGGTGTGCGCCCGGGATCCGAACTGGCGAACCCTGGGCCGCCGCAGCAGAGCGTGCGCACTTAACCACTTGCGCCACTGGGCTGGCCCGTACAAGTGTTTTTATAAAGCCTTTAAAAAGTCTCTTCATGGAAGAGAGAGGAATAAGTATCTAAGTCTGTATAAGAGCCTGACAAAAACATCACAGGTATGGTGAGGTCAAAGCTAAGTTTGGAAGAAGCAATAGGGGTTTGCCAGGAAAATAGGACAAAAGACATCACAAGGATAAGGAATAGCACATACCAAGTCTCAGTGGAAAGAGCACCTGTGATTAGGGAACTAATGATAATATACTTGGGGATTACATGGCGGCCATACTGAACCAAGTAATGAGGATAGACAGGTAAATCAAAGCCAACAGTGTGAAGAATTGACAGGGAATAAAGCATGCAGGAGAAAGACCAGCTTAGTAGGCTCCTGCAAAAGTCTAGTTAAAAAAAAAAAAAAGTGTTTCAAGTTAAATCACGTAGGGTTTAAAGCACAGGGTAGTAACAAAAAAGGATACCCACAAAATATTGGTTAGATAGACCTGACAGACTTGGGGAATGATTTGTGGATGGTGAAGAAGTGAACAAAGAGGAATCCAGGTTCAAACAACTAGCAAGGGCATATACACATAGCACGTGCAAGGGAAGCAACAAGTTATTGAAACCCCTGAACCTAAAGGATCTTCACGCATTTGTACCCCGATACCAAGATCTTAGTGAATACAGGATATGATACAAGGAAGGGTCTAGAATAGAGGGAAAAAAACAACATAGGACATATGGAAGTTACCAACAAGACTTATAGCAACGATGGAGAAATCCAACCTGAACAAGAATACTGACAATTCTCTACATACACAGAGTGAAGTTTCCATCAGTTTCATTGATATTAATCTGTAGTCTCTCCTTACAAAATCCCAACATAGCATTTGTAGCAGTAACAAATAATGAATATGCTTAACTGCATACAATTCTCATTCTATTGCATAGGTTTTTTCTTCCTTTGACTCTTATATTAATGAAGTTCAGAGATTTAAAAAAATTTCTTCAAGTATTGTTACAGCTATCCAGACAGCGTAGACTCCATTTACTATTTCAGTTAAGACTCTAGTACCTGAGTGGAAAAGCCACTGAAGCTCCTTTAGAGAACATGACTCAAGAATTAGCTTCGTCTTGGTGTGTTCTAATCATGTAACAACTGCTTATTAATATTTGTACCATAGGTGTCCATATGGCTGTGATTTTATATGTTATTTGCATAAAGCAGACCTACATTTTTGTTAGAAATATTATTTCTACTTTTTAATGACTGAATTAGAAACTTGATATTTTCAGAGTGTTCACAAAAAGCCCTATGAATACTAGGTTAAGTTTGAGAACCTCTCTGTTTCATTATTAACACATAAATGAGGCAAATCTTATTCATCTTGAAAAAAATATACTTGTTATAAAATTAACAATATGATACATTTGGTAGCAATTACATTTATTCAAATACAAATGCTTAATTTAGATAAATTACTTTTTTAAGATTCTCATATAATGTGAACTTCTTCCTCAATAGGTAAAGATAACACTTCATGATGTTTACAAACTGCACTCTCCGGATCCTTTTACAAAGACTTCTTTATAAGAATTAACAGAATTTCTAACATTTACCCAACAACAAAGGCTCCATCCTGCCATTTTAACTGACTAATCCTAAATATAAAAGTTCAAGGCTCACACAAAAGAACAGAAAGTAATCAAGCTTTACTACTTTGACTATTGTTAGTACTTTTATGACTTTATTGAAATATAAGAGGATTTACAACATTTCCTAACTTTAAAACATATTTTTCTGAATAATTTGTAATCAATAATAACATTTCATTTTACTAAAAAACAATAAAAGCCAGGTTTTATATACCAGTATTAAACTTAAATAAATCCTTTGTTACTTTGGCATCCTATTAATGACAACTGTCTATCAGTTGGAACTTTCACACATGTATACTACACGTGATGTTATCAATAACTGGGATCTTTAAAAAATTTTCAAGTACCTTCTGAATCAAAGAAATATTAAATCTTGTTTAACTTCATGTGTTTTATATTTCATTTACTTGAAAACTTGCCATTAGATTTGACATACAAGGTGGCTCTCAAAGAACTAATACTTTTAATTCATTAGACAGTAATCACTTCCCTGTCAAGAAGTTATGATAAAGTGTTTACTGTAGTTAAAAAAAAAAGCTTGTTAACATTTAAATACCTTAGCTTACAGTTAAATTATCATTTCACATATCTTGGTTTTCTAAGCTTAAATATGTAAATGAACTTGGGAATTAAAATCTGTGTTTTATTCATTGTGAAATACAAACAAAATCCTTAGATAAAACCAACAAAATTTTTTAAGTGTGTATATATATTAAAAGTTAGTATCTAAAGTATTTATTAAAATATTAATTGTACACTTCAACATGGTGAATGTTATATGTAAAGTATGCTTCAATAAAGCTGTTTTAAAAAGTTACAAGTAGTAAGAGCTAAAATATACACGTCAATTCTTCCCAATTTAAAATTTAAATCAGGGGCCGGTCCCGTTGCCTAGTGGTTAGGTTTGGTGCACTCCACTTTGGCAGCCCGGGTTCGGTTCCCGGGTACAGACTTATACCACTCGTGGGCGGTGACCCACATATAAAATAGAGGAAGACTGGCACAGATGTTGCTTCCTCAAGCAAAAAGAGTAAGATTGGCAACAGATGTTAGCTCAGGGCAAATCTTCCTCAGCAAAAATAAATAAATAAAATTTCAAATCAGCAAGCAACAAACTTCATATCAGAAAAAGCTTACAAAACATCTTACCTGTAAACAGTCTCTATGAAACCAAGCATTCTTACAACAAGGACTTCGTAATATGCTATACGTTGGAACAGGCTCAATAAATTCCAGGCAAATGGTGCATGGTAAAGAGTCTTTATAATTACTAGATGTAATTATTTGAACAGGTCGATGGTTCCAACAAAACGATCTAAAAAGGCAAATTATTTAAAAACAACATCTAATAAATGACAAAGCACAAATAGACTAGCATTACAATTCACATTTGTAAGAGAAAATTCATTTGTATCTCTTTCATAATTAACCTACTATAGACTGGAACCTTGGCATTATAAATCAGTCTTACAATCTATGATCAAGGAGAGCTGGACTTGCAAAATGTGAACTTTTGGTGGTGAGACTTACTTTACAGAATTTCAGTAACTAATATTACGTTGAGAATCCTATGTAATATTGTTAGCAACAGAGTATATACACCATTGTACTCAACACTGTATAAAATTAAAGAAAGAACTTAAAAATAAATATTTTAATCATGTAACAAATAAAATACAAATAATAACTTCTAATCCACTAAATTTCTTTTGTATTTCTAAACTTTCATTTTTGTGCATGGTAACAATCCATTAAATAGTTCAAGAACACAAAGACTAAAATAAATAGAACATTCCTGATACCAAATACAGTAGACCCTCCCCTTACCCACAGTTTTGCTTTCCACGGTTTCAGTTACCCACGGTCAACTGTGATCTTAAAGCAGATAAACCCCCTTCTGACATATGGTCAGAAGGTCAATAGCAGCCTAACACTATATCACACTGCCTACATCATTCACCTCACTTCATCTCATCATGTAAGCATTTTATTATCTCACATCATCACAAGAAGAAGAAGGGTAATTAAAGTACAATAAGATATTTTGAGAGAGAGACCACATTCATATAACTTTTATTACAGTCTATTGTTATAATTGTTCTTTTTTATTAGTTATTGTTGTTAATCTATTACTGTGCCTAAATCATAAATTAAACTTTATCATAGGTATATATATATAGGAAAAAACATAGTATATCTAGGGTTTGGTACTACCCACGGTTTCAGGCATCCACCAGGGGTCTTGGAATGTATCCCTTATGGATAAGGGGGGACTACGATACCAAAATTCATAAAATCTTGATGTTTAAAGCTGGACTTGAGAAGTAAATATTTTCAGGGGTATCCTAGGGCATACTATTTATTTTTTGGACTCCACCAACTTACATGCCTTCAATTTACTCAATGAGAAATATATATGGCCCTGTGAAAGAAAAGTGGACTATTAAATCTAAAGAGTGACATAAAAATCTAGAATTTCGTAAGGTGGAAATTTTCACTGAATATGAATAAATTAACAGTTCCATATTATATTCTAGAGCTGAAAGCTGAAGGTGAATACTAATCATTAAGCCCATTCCAGACATGGCAATTCTCAAGACTCTGCAGACAGAAATGATTCCATAAAAAAGGAGGGGAGAAATTATATATATATATAATGTATACGTATAAACTCAGTGCAGCTTTGAAAAGAAATTTTACAAAGGTATTATATCACTGAGATAGCCATATCCATTTTCCAATTTTCTTTAACACTCATCTTTCATATTCAATAGTTAATTAACTCACGCAAAATTGCCAGTGAATTGGAAAATACATTCTCTCTGAAGTCCACATGGGAAATGATAACTTCGTTTACATCGAGGTGCAACACATCCAATTGAAGCACCAGTTTTCTTGCAAACACAGCATTTCTAAAAGAAAATATGAAAATAGGGGTCACTACATACAAAAAATTGAGTATAAAATATGACCAAGGTACAAATGAATATTCCTTGTGGGGAGTCTGAAAATTATTTTCATCATACAACAGCTGTGATGATGGTATATTAAAGAAATTTCCTGAAAAAACGGTTCTACCCAGAAACAGTCTAAAGACACTAAAGATTCACCCCTATAAGAATTTCTGATAAAGGAAACATCTGTAACCTAACATGTGGATGAGACTGATAAGTTTCTTTTCCTTCTTACCTGCTAAAATATTTTAAACTGAAGGGTTTGTAAACATAATGGGTATACATGAAAGTCTCATTCAAATCTCAATAGAAAACACATAAATTAGGAAATATTCACCAAGGAGAACAGCAAAACTATACTAAAAATCGATCTGTAAAAAATTGGCTAGGATCACTCTATCCTAAACAAATGAAAAAGTGTTAGATACCCAAACTAGGTTAAATAGTGATGCTCAAAAAGATATGTTCAAGTCCTAATTCCGAATTCCTATGAATGTGATCTTATTTGGAAATCAGATCTTTGTAGATATAAGTAAGTTAAAGATCTCAAGACGAGATCATCCTGGATTTGGGGTGGTCTCTAAATCAAATGACTGATGTCCTTTGTAAGTGAAAGGAGAGGGAGATTCAAGACACAGACACACAGACGGGAAGGCCATGTGAAAAAGGCAGACGGGAAGGCCATGTGAAAAAGGAAGCAATGACTGGAGTTATGCTGCCACAAACCAAGGAATGCCAAAGGTTGCCAGCAGCTACCAGAAGCTCGGGGAGAAGCATGGAATGAATTCTCCCTGAGAGCTCCCAGAAGGAATCAATCCTTCTGACAGCCTGAATTGAAACTTCTGGTCTCCAGAATTGAGAGAGAATAAATTTGTTTTAAGTGACCCAGTTTGTGGTAATTTATTACGGCAGCCCTAGGAAACAAATACAACACCACTGCCACTAACTGAAATATAACAGTGGTATATAAACAGAAAGACTATTAGATGAACCAATCATTACTAAAATACAGAACAGTACTTAAAACATCTTGGAACCCTTGAGATGGCCACTATAATAGTCACTGACGGAGGGATTATACAGTCTTACTGCTGACTCCTAAAGCACCACCCCGTTAGAGAGAACACCTTGTCAACAGGAGGGTCTCCCACTGACAGATGGAATTCTAGTTTAAGGTCAAAAATGGAGATACCTCTTCAGGATCAAGATACTCTCAAAGGTTCATAATATACTCAGAAAAGATTCAGATGCTTTAAGAAAACAGGTATTTCCAAACCATAAGGGGACCTTTAGAAGCCATCTTTCACAAGTTCACCATCATTAGGAGGTGGAGGAATTCTGATACTAACACTGTCACATGGCCCTTAGATAAATGCTACAGCTAACCTTTCTCCCAAGGTTTTCCCTTGTGCCCCAGAGCCTCTATTTTACCATCCAGTCCTGCATCCTCAACATCTTCAAAGATAACTGCCTCCATTTCTTTGCCTCAACTAAAATAAAGGTCTCTACATGCTTCCCTTAGAGAATTGCTTGATGAAGCTGCTTATTTTCCCATCTTCCTTAATTTCCAGACTTGGCAAGGGGTGGGAGTGGGATACGGACAGAGACAGGAAGGTGGACAAATAGAACATTATTTTACTTTTCTGTCGTAGACTGTAGGTCACCACTCTATCTTCATACTTAAAAAAATCTGGTCCTTTGAGCCTAAGGACATTTACCCTCTGCCACCTGCTAACTTCCCGGTCACCACCCCTCCTCCAGACTTTGGCACCTTTCTTTGTATTTTAATTCTTGCTATCATTCTAAACAACTTCTGCATTGATGAAACAACCTTTCTTGGACTTCCTAAACTATACTGTGTCAATGCCCTTCGTGTCCACTCTTGTGTAATGATGAATCCTATCATCACCCAAAACTGCTCCACCATGGAAATCATCAATTCCAGTATCAAATTCTCTGAACAGAACTCCTATGCTTCCAACCTTCTTATTCTCTAACTCTATACCACATGGAGACCCACAGTCCTTTCCCGGCACATAATATAGTAGCTATCACACAGAAGATTCACAAATTATCATTGAATGAATGAGGGGTTAAAGTTTAGAATACAGGCATACCTCGGAGATAGTGTGGGTTCGGTTCCAGACCACCACAATAAAGCAAATATTGCAATAAAACGATTCACACAAATTTTTGGTTTCCCAGTGCACATAAACGTTATATTTAGACGATAGCGTAGTCTATTAACTGTGCAATAGCATTATGTCTAAAAAAACAATGTACACACCTTAATTAAAAAATATCTTATTGCTAAAAAATGCAAATGCTGTTGGAAAAATGGCACCAATAGACTTGCTCAACGCAGGGTTGCCACAAACACTCAATTTGTAAAAAAACACTGTATTTGTGAAGTGCAATAAAGCGAAATGCAATAAAACTAGGTAGGCCTGTACTTATCTTGGAGAACAAGGAGAAGGCACTGAACACAAGCACACGATGCCACAGAAGGGCCATAAAGGGTGTGGAGATCATAATTTACTGGTCTGTATAGTTGTGTAATATCCACTTCAACCCATCATTCCAACCCATATAAGAATGAAAAGTGAACAGTTAGGTTGACTCAGGATTGAAGGTTTGAAGAACAGCAGAGTGGAAGTATGGTCATAATTCTGATGGTAAAAGTGAGTGAAATCATGGATAGGTTGGAATAACATAAGGAAGTAAAATCAGTATTGTCACATATATTATCCAGGGTCAGTTAAACTCTTTCATTTGCAAAAATACAAAATGTTCTTCTAAAATTTATTGTATTTGACAAAAATAAGCATTGGAACACAGAATCAGTCATAAATTTCTAGTAGAGAAACTGATGGAAAAAGGCGTCCCTAGTATTGACAATATTTATGGCATTTAGTGTAATGAGTAAAATAATTTACTTACCAGTTTAGAAGCCCTATTCACTTCTTTCCTGATGTCTTCTATTAGAAAACCATAAACTCCTTCTTCTTCTTTACCTCTCTGCCAAATTCCACTTGACATCAACTATGAACATATTCTCAATTAGAAAATAAACTCTAAGAAACTAGTTTGGAATAAAAACTACATATCTATAATATTCCAATAAAAAATGGACATAAAATAATTTAGATTTCAAGCACCTTTTATCTACAATAGTTATTTTTCATGGTCAGAGTAAGAGGCTACTCATATTCTTTGATTTGGAAGACACTGTGCATTAACAGTTCATATAACCAAACTGGTTTCTGAAAGTATTCCAGGAAATAACAGAAAAAGGAAGGCAGGAAAACAAAAAACACCTATAATTAAGTTTTAGAAAAAAAAAGTGGTAAACACTGAAAGGTGCAAAACAGTAAATACAATGGAGATAATTCACATTATCGGTGATTTTCAGGCTAACTTTAAATCTAGCTGGATTCTGAATCATAAAAGGCATTTTTACAGGGAAACATTAAATTGCAGTTAACATAAATGTTTAAATGTTTTTAAATTTGATTTTAACTTCAATTTAAATATGTTAAGAGTGCATGAATCAAGAAAAAGCACAGAATTGTGAGTAAGAAATCATGACTTGCAAACCAGGCTCTGTGTCCAAGTTTCTGGAACCCTAGGCAAGTAATTTAATGTCTCCGACCTTAAACACAAAAATGATAACACGGGGCTAGATTGTGTCTAAGTCTCTTTCAGCTCTAACATTCCATTACCATCTGTAACATTACTATACTTGCCTGTTCACAATGAAATAGAATCTTTTAAGTGCTGAGCCTAGGGTCAGTATGTTTTCAAATTATTATACTCATTAATAAAATAAGACAATATAAGGGAAATTTTGATATGATCAACTTAAATATATTAAATAATTCAAAAATACTTCCAATTTGTGATTAGAGAAGACGCTTATTTTAATCAGTATAATACATCCTAAAGAAGACCAAAAGTGATATATATTACTTAAAAATTAGTTATGAAAAAATAACCCGCGGACTAATAAAATAGCTCTCCTAATTCTACTGCATAAAAAGTAAAATAAACTTAGAAAAATGAAAAGGTTTTTTTTTTTTGTGATGCAAAATATAACAGATTCCAACTTACAAATATAGAATGCTAACTTCATGTTCCCTTAAGTCTTGGTACAAAGTAATTTGGTTCCTAGACCAGTCTATAAGTCTATTTAACCCACAGGGTACCTGAGACATAAAACTGTAGTCTTAGAGAACCACCAAGGAATATGTTAGATGGCTTCTCAATGAAGCTATCTAAAGAGTTTTAACATGGATGCTGTGGTGGGTATAAAAATTTGTCCACAAATTTATTGATACTCCTTCTTTAAGAGGTGGGGCCTAATTCCCTTCCCCTGGAGTGTGGGCTAGACTTAATGACTCACTTCTAACAAACAGAATAAAGCAAAAGTGACACTGGTATGTGACTGTGAAGACTAGGTCATATGGTTCCGTCTTGGTTTCTCTCTCTCTTTGTTTCATCATTTGCTCTGGGAGAAGCCAGATGCCATGCTGTGAGCAGCCTTACAGAGGTGTACAGGAAGTAACGAATGAGGCCTCCTGCCAACAGGTAGGAGGAACTGAGGCCAAAAGCCATGTGAATGAGCCATCAGAGGTAGATCCTCCAAACCCAGTCAAGCCTTCAGATGACTGAACCCTAGCTAACATCTCAATTGCTACCACATGAGAGACCCTGAGCCAGAACAACCCAGCTCAGCCAATACCAGATTCCTGACCTTCAGAAACTGTTTGAGATAATGAATGTTGTTTAAGCTGCTAAATTTCAGGATAATTCGTTAAGCGGTACTACGTAACTAAGAGAATATCAAGAAATATTGTGTGTACTAATGCAACCTTAGCATGCTAACGCCGTGATGGTGCCACTGATGCCTTAGGGCACAGATTCAGTGATGTGAGAAGTTGGTGGAGTTAAGGGGGAACAAAAGAGAGACTAATTCTCAGTCTAAAATCACTTCTTCTATCTTCTGAGCGACCCATATTAGTCTATTCCCTTTCCCACAAATATTTGTCTTTAGTCAGAACTTTTCTTTCCAGGTTCTCTGTGAAATAAAATACTTTTCTTCTACTCCCTGAACCTTCAAACTAGCCTTTTCTGAGATTTATCACTAGCAACAATGGAAACAAGAAAGTGGTAATAAGAACAAACTCCCCTGGAGATCTAACCATTTTCTCCTTTTTTTCACTTAGGCCCTAAAGGGTTAGACAAAAATAAACAGGTAATGATGACAGGTCTTTATACATACCAAGTAATTTCAGAATCTTAGAATTTGATAAATAAAAAATCTTATTTTTACATATAGGCAAAATGAGATCCAGAGAAGTTAAATGACTTATCCAATTCTCAGAAACCAGCCATCAGGATCTAATTCTCTTCTTTAGAAGAATATCAAATTTCTAGGATTTAATTATAAATTATACTCACCAAACAATAGTAATGTACAGTGAGATTCCATTTCTCATTAGTTTTCTTTTCTCCATATTTATTAGGACAGTCATCATTTTTCCGACAGAAAACACAAGCTAACAGTGAAAAAAGTAAATAGATACAAAAAAATTTTTTTAAATTTTTCAAAAAGAACCTATGGAATCGGCGCATCTCTCAATTGATGTGTTCAATTCTTTCTGAGAGCAAATCACATTGTATTGTTTATCAGTAACTTAGAATTTCCAATATCTACTTCTAAAACAATAATGTGACTTGAAATTTTTTTCATTAATCTTTAATGATGAATTCCACTATGTCATTAAAATGGCAACTTGTAGGGTATCATCACTGAAAATAACAGATTAGAACACTTCAAAACTCCATCTTTCCTCTAAAGCAACAATTAAGCTGCCAAAAACTGTCAGAATCAACTTTTCAGAAACCCTGAAATCTAATTTAAAACCTTACAACAATCAGCAGAATGCTTTAAGGAAACAAGCTGCTAAATTTTGATGAGAGCTTTGTGGCATTTTAACTTACTCACCTACCATCCCCCCACTCTCTAGCTGGGCAACAGTCCTAGGTAGGATGGCCCATGTTCCTGGTATGGATTGTCCAAGAGGAGGTAATATGGACCTTGTTCTCAAAGAAATGTGATTGTGTGTTTTGATCTGTGTGGTGGCTCCCTGAGGGATGGACTCAGATGCTTGCCTTTGTTTCACCTGCCTCAGAACTTTCTCCGGGCTGGAGCCTGACTGTTTGCCAAAAGCATTTAAGACAAATATACTAGCTGTAGTAGCCTGGAGCAAAGGATAACAGAAAGGACAAGCAGGTAACAGAGCAAAAAAACTAGGAAAGAGGAGGCTGGGAAAAGGGGATACATGGGGGAATAAGGACTTTGAAAAGCTCCCACACACACCAGGGAAGCTAGAAGCACACTCACATGCCCAGGGCTGGATGCATGCTCAGAAAAGACCCCAGAAACCCTAAGCTTTCACCTCCAGTTGATCTTTAGGCTTGTGCAAACCCATAAGAAAAAAGAAAGATTCCAAATCACTAACTTAATTTAACCTTAAAGAACTAGAAAAAGAAGAGCAAGCTAAACCCAAAGCTAGCAGAAGGAAGGCAGTAATAAAGATTAGAGCAGAGATAAATGAAATAGAGAATAGAAAAATAGAATCAATAAAAACCAAAATTGGTTCTTTGAAAATGTCAACAAAACTGACAAACCTTTAGCTAGAGTGACCTAGAAAAAAAAGAGAGAAGATTCAAAACTTATGACAAAGCTACTGAAATCAAAACAGTGTGGTACTGGCATAAGGACAGACATATATATCAATGGAAAAGAAGAGTCCAGAAATAAACCCATATATCTATAGTCAATTAATTCTGAACAAGGACGCCAAGACCATTCAATGGGGAAAGAATAGTCTCTTCAACAAATGGTGCTGGGACACCTGGATAGCCACACGCAAGATAATAAAAAATGAACCCCTATCTCACACCATATACAAAAATTAACTCAAAACAAATTAAAGACCTAAATGTAGGAGCCAAAACTATAAAATGCTTAGAAGAAAACATAGAGGTAAATCTTCATAAACTTGGATTTGGCAATGGTTTCTTAGATATGACATGACACCAAAAGCAAAAGTAATAAAAGAAAAAAGATAAACTGGACTTCATCCAAGTTTAAAACTTTTGTGCATCAAGAGACACTATCAAGAGAGTGAAAAGACAATCTACAGAACGGGAGAATATATTTGGAAATCATACACCTGTTAAGGGTCTAGTGTCCAGAATGTATAAGAAAGTCTTACAACTCAATAACAAAAACACAACCCAATTTTAAAATGGGGCAATGGATCTGAATAGACATTTCTCCAAAGATACATAAATAGCCAATAGGCACATTAAAAGATGTCTAATATCATTAGTCATCAGGGAAATGCAAATCAAAACCACAATGAGATACCACTTCACACCCACTAGGATGGCTCTAATCAAAATGTTAGAGGGCCGGCCCCGTGGCTTAGCGGTTAAGTGCTCGCGCTCCGCTACTGGTGGCTCGGGTTCGGATCGTGGGCGTGCACCGAGACACTGCTTGTCCGGCCATGCTGAGGTGGTGTCCCACATACAGCAACTAGCAGGATGTGCAACTATAACATACAACTATCTACTGGGGCTTTGGGGAGAAAAAGGGAAAAAAAAAAGGAGGAGGATTGGCAATAGATGTTAGCTCAGGGCCAGTCTTCCTCAGCAAAAAGAGGAGGATTGGCATGGATGTTAGCTCAGGGCTGATCTGCCTCAAAAAAAAACAACAAAAAAAAGTCAGATAATAACAAATGTTGGCAAGGATCTGGAGAAATCGAAACCCTCATATACTGCTGGTGGAAATGTAAAATGGTATAGCCACTTTGGAAAATAGTCTGGCAGTTCCTCAAAAAGTTAAACATAGCTACTGTATGACACAACAATTCCACTCAAGTATATATGCCAAAGAACTGAAAACAGATGTTCAAACAAATACTTGTACACTAATGTTCATAGCAGCACTGTTCACAACAGCCAAAAAGTGAAAACAAACCCATGTCCATCAATGAATGGATGAAGAGATAAAGAAATACAGTATATCCATACAATGGACTACTACTCAGCTATAAAAAGGAATGAAGTGGGCTGGCCCCATGGCTTAGCGGTTGGGTGCCCGCGCTCTGCTGCTGGCGGCCCAGGTTCGGATCCCAGGCACGCGCCGACGCACGGCTTCTCCAGCCATGCTGGGGCTGCGTCCCGCATACAGCGGCTGGAAGGATGTGCATCTATGACATACAACTATCTACTGGGGTTTGGGGGGAAAAAAATAATTAATTAAAAAAAAAAAAAGGAATGAAGTGCTGATACAGGCTACAACATGGAGGAGCCCAGAAGTATTACACTAAGTGAAAAAAGCCAAGCACAAAAGCTCACAATAGATTACATTATCCAGAATAGGTAACTCCACAGAGACGGACAAAAAGCAGAGTGGTGGTTTCCAGGGGCTGAGGACAAGGGAAATGAGAAGTGACTGCCTAACGGGTACAGAGTTTCCTTTGGAGGTGATGAAAATGTTTTGGAACTAGATAGTGGTGATGGTTGCACAACACTGTTAATGTACTAAATGCTACCAAATTGTACGCTTCAAAATAGTTAAAATGGTGAATTTTATGTTATGTGAATTTTACCACAATAATAATATAATTTTAAAAAGGTAAATTGTAGAGTCAGAGAGATCTGAGCTAAGACTCAGCTCCACGCTCTTGCTATGTAACCTTGGGCAGGTCACATAAACACTTTATGGCTCTGTTTCCTCATCTTAAAAATGAGGACAACAACAGTACCTACCTCAAACTACACCTTAATAAGGATTAAATGAGATAGTATATAGTAATATAATTAAAAGAGTGCAGCACATAGATAGAACTAAATAAATGTTAGCATTATAATTATCAATCTTTTCTACCTTAAGATGTTTACTTGTATAAAAAATTTCTAATAACATATTAATAAAACAATGAGAAGATCACTAGCTGAAGAGAAAAAACACTGAGGATCTCAAGGAGGCAGATCAATACGAGATGGAAGGAGCCTGAATCTCTAAATGACTACATGGAGCAGAAATTCCCTATCTATCCCCTTTCCCCTAACCAATCCACACTAGACTACAACATAAGCAAGTAATAGCTTTTATTGTGTTAAACCATTAAGACTTGAGAGTTTACCTATTACAGCAGCTAGTCTTATTCACCTTAACTAATACATGGAATCAAGAATGGACGTTACGTGTTGAAAGGTACTAGTATATTCGTTAATAGGCTACTCACAAAATAGATTCCAGGACTGGAAACAAACAGCATGAGTTAATATTTAATACTGTGAAATCTCCCCCCTATATTTGCCCTCCCTCACTCCAGTTTAATGAGATAAGCCATAACTATAAGCCCCTTCCCCCAATCTTTTAAAAGATTTCAGCCCCCCTTCCTTTCCCATACAAAGTCACTGACATTAACTCCAGCAAATTGCCATGTGCTTATTGGACATCTGACACCAGCAGCTCCCGCCTTAACTCCTTCATCTCCAGTGCCTATACTTTTAGCTATAAGTGTGCATGCAGTTATCAAGAGGAAGAGGAATACAAGGCATTAGCTGAGACTACAGAAGAGCCAGCCCTGGTGGTCTAGTGGTTAAGATTTGGAGCTCTCACTGCTAAGGCCCAGCTTTGTTTCTGGTCAGGGAACCACACCACCCATCTGTCAGTTGTCATACTGTGGCAGTTGCATGTTGCTGTGATGCTGAAAGCTATGCCACTGCTATTTCATATACCAAGCAGGGTCACCCATGGTGGACAGGTTTCAGTGGAGCTTCCAGACTAAGCAAACTAGAAAGGAGAACCGGCCACTCACTTCCAAAAAATTGGCCATGAAACCCCTATGCATACAGCAGAGAATTGTCTGATACAGCGCTGGATGGTGAAGACAATGGCACAGGATTCCTCCCTGCTGTACACAGGGCTGCTACGAGTCGGAATCTACTTGAAGGCACTAACAAATGAAACAGAAGAGGAGTCCTCATGACGAACGCTGGATGGAACTGTATCTGCTATATGCTGTGGACCTGTGGCTTTCCGTTTGCTCCCCTCCTCCCTTCACCCAGTATGGAGACTCTGGATGCAAACAGACTAGGTTTCAGGCATGCATTTTATAAGCAGATTTTGTTTTTTATTTGGATTTTGTTGTTGTTTAATTTTAACGTTTAAATTCCAATAAAATTGTTCTGACTTCATTATATTTAGTAAGTCTATAGGCAAAAGCAGAAAAGCAAAACAGAGAGAGGTTTAAGAGCACAATTTCCTCATCCAACGTGGTGTGGAGTTAACAGATACTCTCTGTAAGTGATGGTCAAGATAGAGAGAAGTGTAACACTTTAACTTGAAAGGGAATCCAAAAAGAAATCTTAAAAAGGGTAGGTGAGGGGAGAGGTAGTGGCAGAAAAGTATAAAGTAACAATTTAAATTTCTCATCTTCCACAGTAGCAAGTCAATATATACTGTTTATAACTAATAAATGAAGAAAACAACTAAAAGCAAAGGTCTGCATCTATTAGAGGAGACTTTTGTGAGCAATTTCATTGTGTGTTTTCATGTTCAACTTGTGTGTATTGTTTAAATTGTTCTCACCTGCATTTTTTCCTTTTGTAAGAAAAAGTCACACAAAAAGGTGAAAAAATTATATTTATTAAATAAATAACACTATTTTATTCAGATACAAACCATACCTGATAAATACATATAGAGAATACAAATAAAATTTGGTAAATTGTCCTCTTATAGTAGATTTTTGTTGAAATGAATACATACAATATTATACTTTAGTATATGAATATATGAACTAAGCATGGATCAGGGAATTCATTCCTATTGTTTGAGTAGCATTCTAAAAGGATTTATTGTAATAAAAAAACCGAGAGTAAAATATCTTAATATTTTAAATCATATTTGAAAGTATTTTAAATACAGTTACTTACCAAGATTCTGTGAGTCACCAGGTTTATTTTCATTCATTTTACTAGGAAAAATAAAAACATACAATACAGCCATCTTAATTTTAAAAATCTCAAGTTATCCATTTTAATTAAATTTAGTCAACGCATAATTGCAAATAAGTTGCATAATCATTTCTTACTCTAGTACTTAACTTCCTCATCTTTCACACATCTAGGACCAATAGTTCTCAATAAGGGTGGTAAAGTCTGAACACGTTGTTAAAATCGGAGGGAATGTTTTTCAGATGTCAGAAAGATTAAGATGACTACTGGCATTTAGTGGAAAAGGGCCAGGATTGCAGGATATCTTGCAATGCACCAAACAGACCTATACAGCAAAGAATACTCTAGACTTCCAAATTTCCAGCTGGACATTCAACTAGGTAAAAAAAAAAAAAAAAACAACCTATTTATAATTACATCAACCTAGAAACCTACAGGCAGTTTACACATAAATATCAACTCTTTTTTTTTCTTGCTATTTTAGGACAAAATGAGTATTTCCAAACTACAACTCCTATGTAAGTCAATGAAATCTGTATTTTATTTTTGTTCATAATTTTACCAAGAAGTGTTCATTGTCTAGGGGGGAAAAAAAAAAATCACAACATTAATAGCAATGCCATTTGTATTTGAGTAGCCTACAAAACAACCCTTTATCAGGCTATATTTATGGTTAGTGCATTTGCAGGGATTGTATACAGAGCTGCAAGCATCTGACTGCCACATCACATCTTCTAGCACAGTACTCAACCATTTACATACTGAAAGACATTGATCTGTCTGTCTCCTCACTCCCTACTAGTTAACAAATGAAATTACTCATATTCATTACTGAAATATAACTTTCTCTAACTGTTCTCTAGTGCTAAAAGATCAAATGAAGGAAGAACAATATCTTAATAACATCAAAGTTTCACTTTACCAAGGCTATAAGAAAGCCTACTTGAAATGTTATGAGATTCAAGTACAATAATGTATGTGTAAGCTCTTGGAATTTAAGTGGAAAAGAATAAACATAACAATGCTACTAGGTGAATGTAATCTCATTTTATAGTTGCAAATCCAATGCTCAGAGAGGTTAAAACACTTGTCCAAGGTCACAGAGTCCTCAGTGGGAACAGACTAACCCATAACTGAGTGACTATGCCACTTCACATGAAAATAATGAAAGAGCACAATAAATAATACAGAATAGTAAATATCAAAGGAAGGACAAAAAAACAAAGATTATTATCAAATTTCATCAATGCTTTCTTATAATTTAGAATTTATATTTCATATTGATTATAAGAACCGTTTTGGGTTTAAACATTGATTTTCTCATAGATCACTTTTGTGGTTTCAGAAAAAGTCACAGTCCAAGTCTTTTGAATCACTTTGACTCCCAGTCTTCAATATTTTCTGGTTCTTCCTTACAAAATCACCCGTGCCATCAAGATTGGTATTTCTTAAAAGAATTCATAAAACAACTAAACACCCTAGGTCCACTTTGTAGTCCAGACCTGATGTTGACTCCTTTACACACAGCCTTGGCTTTGCTTTGACCCCATCAAAACACTACTTCCTTTAAATTTCACCTAAATGCCACCCTTCTCCAAAATCCTATAAGAAATTTATTTTACTCTTTGTTTGGTGAGAAGCCCTGTGGTTCTTCTGGTCTGCAATCTCTCTCATTGCAATGAGTCAATAAACCTAACTTTATCACACTACAGGTTTATCCCTAGTGGTTTTAGGCTGACTGGGCTAAGACTGGAGAAAGAATGATAAGGCAAATGGCACAAAACATAAGCAATTGGTGAATCTGGATAAGGAGTATATAGGAGCTCCTTATACTATTCTTATAACTTTTGTCACAGTTTAATATTATATCACAATTAAAAGTTACCCCCAAATTGGATGTTCTAAAGACATTACACAATTCATACTTCTGACCAGTTCACATTAGCCTTCTTTCTAATAACCAGCACCTGAAATAAAACTTTTGTTTCTAAATCCTGATTGATGATTGCTTTGTCTCATACAACAGTCTCCAATACAAAACTTGAGCCAGAAAAATAAGGACTATTCACACATTTTTAGTTGGATTTTATCATTTGTTTTGCATCCAGTACGTGAATTTTAAGACTTCCTAAGTGCAAGGAAGAAAACGATGTATGTAAGTATATATCTCAATAACAGCCCAACTCTTTAACAACAGACTTGATTTTAGAAATAATATCAAACTATTCTCCCATTCCTTGAGAAATCATTAACAATTTAATGAAGAGTTCCAGGAAGCCACTGTCAAGAGGTATTGTGAGTCTCTTCCACTGCTTACCTCCACTTGGTCAGTGAGTGATCCTCATATTTGATACTCCTCCCTTCAAAAGGTAGAGCCTGATTTCCCTCTTCTTGATGTGGCTGTGCTTAGTAACCTGCTACCACCAAAAAGCCTGGCAGAAATGACAATGTATGACTAGGTCATAAAAGGCACTGTGACTTCCTCCTTGCTCTCTATCATGGATCACCTGCACCAGAGGAAGCTAGCTGCCATGTCATAATGCTCCTTGGAGAGGCCCACTCGGCAAAGAATTGAAGCATTTACCCACGGTCATGTGAGTGAGCCATTTTAGAAGCAAATCCTCCAAGTCAAGCCTTCATATGACTACAGCCTGGCTGACAGCCTGAGAGCAACTTCATGGGAGATCCTAAGCCAGAACCACACATCTAAGTTGCTCCCAAATTTCTGGCCCACAGAAACGGTCAGATAGTAAATGTTTATTGTTTTAAGCCACTAAGTTTTGGGGTGATCTGTTACACAGGAATAGACAGGTAATAAAATCAAGTAAGCCAAATTGCCTCGCATTCTAGCTGGGTTGCTATTCTAACAGCTTTTTGGTGGGATCTTTAAGATTTTCAATATATAAGATCACGTCATCTGCAAACAGACAATTTTACTACTTCTTTCCAGTTTGGATGCCTTTTATTTCTTTTTCTTGCCTGATTGCTCTGGCTATGACTTCTAGTACTATGTTGAATAGGGGTGGTGAGAGTGGGCACCCTTGTCTTATTCCTGATCTTACAGGAAAAGCTTTCAACCTTTCATCATGGAGTATCATGTTAGCTGAGGGCTTGTCATGTAGGACTTTATTACGTTGAGGTACATTCCTTCTATACCCAATTTGTTGAGAATTTTTATCATGAACGGACATTGAATTTTGTGAAATGCTTTTTCTGTATCTATTGAGATGACCATTTGATTTTTATTTCTCATTCTATTAATGTGATATGTCACATTTATTGATTTGCATATGTTAAACCTTCCTTGCGTCCAGGGATGAATCCCATTGGATCGTGGTGTATGATCCTTTTACTGTGCTGTTAAATTCGGTTTGCTAATATTCTGTTGAGAATTTTTGCATCTATACTCATCAGGGATATGGGCCTGCAGTTTTCTTTTCTTGTAGTGTCCTTATCTGACTTTGGTATCAGGGTAATGCTGGTCTCAGAAAATGAGGTTGGGAGTTGAACATATACTTTAGAAAACAAATACAACATGGTCAAACAAGCAAACCAAAGAATGAAAGCTGGAAAATTTACAAAAATGTGGCAATTAAACAAGCAAAAGGTCAAAGCAGAAATCACAAGGGAAATTAGAAAATACTTAGAGATGAATGAACATAAAAAAACAAACAAACCCATAATATACTAAAACCTACAGTGTACAGCAAAAAGTGATCAGAAGGAAATTTACAGCTATAAATGTAAACATTAAAAAAGAAGATTCCCCAAAAAATAACCTAACTTTGTACCTGAAGGAACCAGAAAAAGAAGAGCAAACTGAACCAAAGCCAGTAGAAGGAAAGAATTCATAAAGATTAGAGTGGAGATAAATGTAAAGAATAGAAAAATAATAGAGAGAATAAAATCAAAAGCTGGTTCTTTAAAAAGATCAAAATGGACAAACCTTTAGCTAGACTGACCCAGAAAAAAAAGAGAAAATACTCAAATTACTAAAATAAAAAACAGGGAACATTACTATAGACCTTACAGAAATAAAAAGGATTATATAAATAATTGTATGCCAGCAAATTAGATAATTAACTAGTTAAACAAGTTAGATAATCTTACAAAACAGATTCAAGCAGAAATAGAAAATTTCACAGATCTATATCTAGAGATTGAATCAATACTTCAAGAATCTCCCAACAAAGAAAAGTCTAGGCCTAGACAGCTTCACTGGTGAATTTTATCAATTATTTTAAAAAGAACTGCACCGATGTTTCTCAAACCTGCCCAAAAACAGAAGAGGAGAGAACCCTTCCTAATTCAATCTATGAAGCCAGCATTACTGTGCTAACCAAAGCTAAAGACATCACAGAAAAGCTATAGACCAATACCCCTTATGAACATAGATGCAAAAATCAACAAAATTCTAGCAAACTAGATCCTTGTTAAGAGAATTATACACCACGAGAAAGTGGTATTTATCCCAAGATGCAAGGGTGGTTCATTATATGAAAAATCAGTCAATGTAACACATCACATTGACAAAATAAAAGAAAAAGGGCACATGCCCATCTTAATTGATGCAGGAAAAGCGTCTGACAAAACCCAACACTTTTTCATGATAAAAACACTCTACAATTTAGAAATGGAAGGGAACTCCCTCAGCATACTAAAGGGCATCTATTCACACTTAGTGGTGAAAGACTAAAAGTTTTCCACCTAAGATCTGGAGCAAAACAATGATGTCCACTCTCACCCCTTCTATTCAACACTGTACCAGAAGTTCTAGCCAGAACAATTAGATAAAAAAAGAAATAAAAGGCATCCAAATTGAAAGCAAGAAGTAGCTCTATTGGCAAAAGACATGATCTTATATGTAGGGAATCCTAATGAATTCCCAAAAAACTGTTAGAGCTAATAAACAAATTCAGCAAAGCAGCAGGATGCAAGATGAACACACAAAAATCAGTTGTATTTCTATACAATAGCAAAAAACAATCCATAAAACAATTAACAAATCAACTCGATTTAC